TTATAAATGGAGACTATGGCTGAATCCAGAAAAAACAAAGGTATATGGATTCCATCTAAATAATAGAGAACTAAATAAAGAAATGTTCAGTTTAAAGAAATAAAGGTAAACCATACATTTTCAGCACCAAAGTATTTGGGAGTAAAATTGAATATCGAAAAGCTACAGAAGGAATTAAGGACGAAAGTGAACCTAGTACAGAAATTAGCAGGAACCGGATGGGAAGCAGGACGGTACCTATCGAACATCAGTGATGTTATAAAGGAAGCCATTGAGTGGATAATGACTTTGGATACTGACATTTAAATTTAAGCGCAAATCCAATACAATTTCTAGGGAGCAAACATTTTTAACATCAACGTGAGGGGAGGCTTCGATTCCACACAGATTAAAAAAAAGTATATTTTTTTGGGAGGGGCAAGCCCCCCCTTTGGCACCCCTGGGATTTGCGACTATGTTTGACTATATACTATGTATTGTATTGTTATTAATCATAATTATAATTATATTACTTATTTTATAACTTTTATAAATGTTACTGTGGTGGTACTGCCGCCATACGAATATATATATATATATATATATGGGTACTATAATAGAACATCAACTAATATAGACTAATTGAAGGAAAATCTTTGAAACATTTAAACACTTTTACGAATTAATCCAAATGGATTATTTTGTTTATTATTAAAGTCAAAGGTGACGTTTACTGGATAATATAATAATTTAATCATTTGGAATTCGGACCTTATGTATTTTAATAAAACTTGAGTATCAATGTTAATTTTATGTCATAGCTTACAGCTGTGTAAAAAATAATGATTTATATTATATCATTATAAATATTGATATTTAAAATTACGTATCGTAAGATTTCAATTTTGAATGGCTGATAAAAATATAAAATGTAATCAGTTTACTTATTAGTTACTATTTTAAATCGTGCTGCGCAGCATGACAAATGCAATAGTATACCGTTATTTTATAACTTTCATTGAACTTTTGAACTCATTTCCTCTGGGGTTAAAATATATTATTTGTAGATGGGTGTCCATAGTTTTTAAAATATTACTAAAATAAATCAAATTTAAGATGTATCATATCCATACGATTGTGTCGATACTTAATAATTATTAAAAAACAAAATTATGAATTATTGTTAACAATATATTATGTTAGAATTAATTCGTCAAAGAAAAAAAAATTATCATTAAAAGGTAATAAATATTGTATTAAAATAACACATGATTAAAAACACCGGATTTCTATATAATATAGTTGAAAAAACCTTGTTTGTACTATAATTTTATCTCAAAATCACTACCAACAACTGAATAACATATAAAATTATGGCACATTAAATATTATTATCATACTAATAATGAATAAAGAATAGAAATAACATACATAATAATACATGATGTAGGTACTAACAAAACATTACATTTTTTTTCTTAAAGCACATTACAATATATTATTTATAATGACAATAAACAATAACTGCTCGTGAACTTTTTTGATGTGTATAGTGAGAATAACTATTTATAAAATAAATAAAAAGAAAAATGTGTAATAGGTATTATCATCCCGACATAATATATGCACACATAGTTCTGTAAAAACTGATTAACAATCGACACACCCTAAAAGACAATAATTATAATAATTAATATACAACAAAGCGTTTTAGGTCACAAATAACTCGATCTTTTAAACTCGTGGACATTTTCATTTCCAAAGAACTCATATATCAACATTTTCTTTAAAATATTTCAAGCCAATTAAAAATAATCAAATGTTATTAATATAAAATAATAATAATAATTAGCTGTATAATAACAATGTAAACAAACGAATCTAATCAAAAATCTACTAAATGATTCAGTCTTAAACATACACTTATAATAATAACAATATGATCAATTATAATATATGTATAATAAAAAATAAATAATAATAAATAAAAGCATGTCAGTAATTTGGTTTAGTTCAAATTAAATAATTGGCAAACTATAACCAAATATTACTCATTTTACTACATGATGTCATTTAGGAGTTAGAAGAAAATATTGTCAAAAAAACAGTAGTATTTTGAAAAATTGTCCAACATTCATGTTAATGAAGTATTTGTTTAAAATAGATTTAAAAAAAGTTAGTAGTATTCCTAATGTTTATCAGTCAACTTTCACTATAAGAAAGTTTCTTCGCTTAACTTTTGGTATTCACCAAAATTGGTGCTTAAAAATACAGGAGTGATAAAAATGTATTTTTGATCTACGAGTACTTTTAATTAATTGTTTATAAGGATAACTTTTATATAAATAAATAACAATTTATGTGGTTTTAATCGTACAAATTGATTGCATATCGGTATATTAGTACAGCAGTGATAATAACAATCTTGACGACTGACCAATGATCGATTCAAAAATAAAATGAATAACCAACAACGAATAGTATAGTTGAAAGAGCCAGTATCAAAGTAAAGCCGTGTTTTAATGAAAATCGTATTTTAACAGTTTCGATCTAAAAATTATCGAAAACATTTTTATTTTTTTTTTTTTTTAATGTAATTAAATTATAATATATACATAATATATATTTCATAATATTAATAATAATAATAACAATGAAAACAAAAATAATATATTGTTTAGCAATGCTTCATTAATGATTGTAATGTAAGCACATTTTTAGAAAAAAATCTAATAACAGGCTTAAAATAATGTTTTTCGATACTAACTCCTTCAAATTCAACATATTATGTACGAACAGGTCAATTTAATCACAATAAAACATTTCTATATGATGTAAAAGCTACACGTTTTCCTCTTAATATTTATACAATAATATCAATACAATAATTTCTCTATTTAAGTGCATTTTATATCGTACATCAGATAAAAAAGGGCTGTCGCAAAATATTTGATACCGGTCGATCCGGCCACGTGAAATGTATATCGAACATATAACACATATTATAACTAATGTTTATAATTAAAAACATGACGACCGAATCTCATTTTATGTAAGCGCCTATATAACTGAAGTGGTGATTAGAGCGAATAAATAAAAAAAGTCAACAATATTAATTTTACCATAACGCTATTATCACAATAACTGCGCGCCTAAAACCTAAAGGGGTTCTCTGGTAACTTTTATAATACTAATATTTTTTTACTAAAATTAACTACAATCAAACATATTTATTGAGCCTCGTTGATTATCCAAAGTACATATTATTTTTATTATAATGAAGCTTGAATTTTTCCTACACATTATTAAAATATTTTATTGATTACTAGGTATATAGTTAGTAATTAATAACATGATATTATGATGAAAAATAGATGATAGACCAAAATATTGATAAAGTAAACTAACCCTGTCGTATACTGTGATTTTATTATTGTTATATCAATACTATTTGGTTTATGCTCTGGTTAGTGTAAAACACAAATAACATTTCTGATAATTGAAAACACCAATCAAATAGAACAGATAGAATACAAATTTTATAACAAATTGTTAATATTTTAATTTTTTTTCTCATAACGAGTTCTTTGAAATTGTTTAAATTTAGTACAAGAAAATTTGTATTATTATTGATTAAAAAAACAATAGTACGTTGAACTTATATGGATTAAGATTTGAAATTGTCCATAAAATTATTATTTATCATAATTTATTCATGGGACAAAGTGTATTTTGAAACAAGTTAAGCAAAACTTTTATACTTTAAAATTTGAACTAATTTTTAAATGGGTAGGTATCTAAACAAATTATTATTATGCTGATTGCTGAACCTTTTTGTTATAATAAAATTGTATTGATATTTTTTTCTATCATATAAGTACATAGAAATATATATCATATATTTATGGTACACAAACAGAATAATTATTAATTGGTGTTTTTCAAAAAATTGTATCTTCCCAATCGAATATCGATACTTATTATTACTAAAACTTAGAGAATGATACTAACTATATCGATTGCTTATTTTTCATTCGGTGCGATTAATATATTAAATTGAACGATTTATTAAAAATGTGGCAGGCTCAAGTCATTATAGTAAAAATAATAATAATTATAATGATAATAATAATAATAATAATAACACTACAATAGGAACAAACAACTCGTATTAAAATATAATTCCAAAAGTGATTATTGTTAAAATACGCATTTCGTTTGTTTACATATTATTTAGACTACACCTATATATTCATACATTTTAAACCTCAACAAAACGAATTCAGTGCGATTTAAAAATTGTAGGCATATTTTTATGGAGTGGTAATCAAAACCACGATAAAAAGTCATACCATTTCAGAGTTGGGCGTAAAAACAAATGTACCTATATGACAATGTATTTGGTATTATTTTTGAAAATTACAAATTATTCAATATCGAAAATGATTAATCTCCATTTAACTGATTAAATTTGATAACTTATACATGTATTAGATTATTTACTGGAAGCCCTGTAATTTAGTATGATTTGTATATTTTAAAAGTTTTAAGAAGGAATCGTTTTTTTTTTTGAAATTGTTGCCCAACTCTTTCTGTTGATGTATATTATACATACAAATTTAATTTGCCCGTAAAATATATATTTATACGTGATTTACTGATCTACTGATTTACAAGTTGTTCCAAAACAATTGTTAATAATTTAAAAACAGTCTATAAAAAATAATTTTTTCTACAATGTTCCGAAAAACACCATTTAGTATGACATGTATGATACTGGCTCTATCGGCACACTAAAATTATTAAAAATTCTCCTAATCCATGGATATCTCCATGAGTTCGGGGCATACAACCAACGACAATTTTAATAAATTAGATTTCGTTTGAAACAATTTTTTTATCTGAATAAAACGTAAACAAATGGACGAATGATTGTTCTCGGGAAGAACATTCGATTAATAACAAAAACAAAGTTCAACAATAATGATTATTAAAAAAAAAACATCAACATAATACTTAACTTAGAGGAAGTGATCTTCCATGTCGAGTTGTAGCAGCTCAAGTTCTGCGCGACTTTTCCGTTTGCAAAATACCGTCAAACACAACAATCTGAGCATGACGCGGAACTGCGGGCTAAGAAATATGAGCACAAACGCCTTCCATACCGAGTTGGATATGCCCAGCCACAGGGCGGCGAAACGGACATGGCCGGGGACCGCCGGTACACCACCTAGTTGCTGGTATGCTTTGATGGACATCAATGGTGTCCAACAAATCCAAAACGTTACGATCAACACGAATGACGTGACGTGTGTAGGATTGGACAAGTTTTCAGACAACGCTGTTACGTATTCCTGTGTACAATGATAATATAATAATTCACCGACCATTATAATAATAATATTACTTAGTACTATAACTACATTCATATACCCACAAATAAATGTATATAATATAGGTAATGGATATTTTTATTAACCACTTGTCATTATTTAAAGAACCATCTGGTAAATGTGTGACGTTTAAATAAGTCTCGTTATAATATTGTTTAGTACAACAGATTAGCATTATAATATTATACAATAGTATCGAATACCCATTAATAATACTCTATATCATTTATACATACTACTATAAGTTAGCTAGGAACTCGATTATACTGGTTTTTTTTTACAATACATTATTATAGTTCAAATAAAAATAAAAATAATTAATTTGAATAAATATGAAATAAATGGGTTATGCTGTCTATAAACACTATATTAGACTAGGAATCTAGGTGTCTTATAACATTGTCACCGAATATAATGAATACAATTACGATATTTAATTATTATGTGTACCTATTGCAGTTGTACCAATATAGTTTTAATAGTTATAAACTTATAACATTTCGGCTAGTGTAATACAATACATTATTCACATTTCACGTATGTATAATGTCAAAAGACCCACAGGGGAATATTCGGTTCAATATTCCAATAAAACCCAATTAAGGACAAACGGAACAGGTCCCTTTAATTTTTTAATTATAGTCAAAATTGAATAAGAAATCTACCGTAATTTTAACAGTTTAACTTGATTAATTTTATTAGAACCGGAATAAATTATTATAATATACATACAACTCACTAAGTTATTGAAATTGTATGTCTTACTATGATAGTATTAGTATATAATTAACTAGCTTACTTGTGAATATTTTAATTTGAATGGAAAAAATTAATTTCCTGTTCAAATATATAATTATATATTTAACGCTAATATTAAATTAACAATGATTTTGTTTTGTTAAGAATTATAATAGGTTTTTTAATAAATTAAATATTTTACCTATAATGCTAAAAAAAAATATTTTAACCCAACGACTTTTAAAAAAAAATATGTGATTAAAGTTTTCAAGAAATATTACGCCACCATTAAGATTTTTAAAGGTTCCACGTTATCAGCTTAAAGTCTAATAATCCACGGGAACTTTAAAAAGTTAAGCTCCAGATGAGAATCAAGAGTAATGTTAAGAAATATTTTTCAAAAAATAAAAGTATCAAGTTTGAAAATTATTTAAAAACTTAAAGTGTTGTCAAGGTGAACTAAGGCTCTTAGAGTATGCAAATATCCAACCAAAGCTCTACATATAAATTTCGAATCTAAAATCAAAGAGTTTTCAAGCCGCGCTATAATAATGTAAATTATTTGTTTGTATTACATTTTAAATTTATTAAATTAATCCTTAGTGTTGTTTAGATTATACTTTCTATACTTTCTTGAAAAATGTTTAGTTAAATTAAATTAAATGTAGGTACATCTAAATTATACCATTATAGATGAGTGCAATAAATTGTTCATAAAAATAGACATACAAAATACTAAGTATATTATTGTAATTTGTAGGTATAGGTATGTAATCAAAGAAAAAGTTACTATTTTATTTTAACTTTTAACTTTTAACCTTACATAAATAAATGTCGTGTGCAATAATTTATGTTTTCAACCCGAAAACTAAATGACTTAAACACTATTACGTACGTTAGTAGTTATAGTACCTTATTTGACAGCTAGTACTATATAGATATCATGAAAAGCAATAGAAACAACAGTTCTAGAAAAACTTGACTGGAAAGATCTAATCTAAATTAATATTTTATGCCTATTCAACTATTGTGGAATATAGATAATATTATAATAAATAGGGTATAAACTAAAATTTATGACCCAGATTCGTACATTATATAAACGTATATTATTGAGACACGACCGGAGCCATTGACTTCGAAACTTACATACGCCAAGTGGACCAAGACTCAACCTTGTAACCTGTTTATAAAAATTATTTTAAAAAGCATACAAATATAGAACCAACCTCAAATTAAGATATCGAAAGTGAGCCAAGTACTGAATATGATTTTTTTTTTAGTACGAAAACCATTTATAATTTCCATATTGTTTTTGTTCCATTATAATATTAAACAATTTTAAATGTCTATACCTACTGAATCTGAAATAAAATCCCTTTAAAGATTTATTATTAAACGTTCTTGTGTTTTATTCAGTTTGCTGTAGTTAAACCGTCTGGTTTATTTCAAATAAATAAATACATTTATTTATTTATTTAAGAAATGAAATGTCTATACTGATATATAATAATACATAAATAATGCATATACCTATATTTTAATTTTAGTATTATATTATGCAATAACAGTAATATTGTTTATTTTAGCAGTAGGTATAATAATTATAAACTATAAAGTTTTGTACCTATGTATATGTAAGTTACGCCCATATTATAAAAATAACACGGATTATATGCATTTGTATGATATACAAATAATTCACATAATCTCCTTTTTCTACAAAAAATGCATATTTCATAGGTTCGTGGTGTTAATGGCATACAATCTCATTTCTCATATACACGAAACGAATCCGAAAGTTCAACACTGTCCAACCTGGGGAGTATCTAGCCATCGATATATATATATAAGTGAATTTTTACTAACGAGCTTTTCATAATATTTATACAATATATCATTTAATCTTTTAATCGTTTGCAAGCACAATAACTATAGTAACATGTCCTCAAAGTTTAAATACTATCCTTCTCATTATTGATCATTCGTTTTCTGTATTTAATCAGACAAATTCCATGGCGTCACAATGGATCACTTGGAGGTACTTGACGCCCTTGGTTATATATTGCTATGTTATGGCCTATGGCCTGTGAGAACTGAAGTAAGTAATGACAGTGGTCATATACTCATATATTTTATAGAATATCAATATTTATTATTTATTAAAAAATTTGTTTTTTTATATCATTGATATAATTGTCAACTGCAGGTACATGTGCATGCCAACGTAGATATATAGTATATTTAAACCATAAACAAACTATCAAAAGAGTTTTTTTCATTTCATTTTTGGTGCATATTTTAATATTATTTTACATATTTGCATACATATAAATTTATAATAGGGATTTTTACTGCATATAACATTCATAGTGTAGTTATAACGTTCAAGTATTATTGGTAATAACTGCTAGGGCTGTAATTTTTTATCGGTGGGAGCCCATCATCAAGTATTGGCTTCTGGGTCACTCAATTTGGAGAATGTATAACAAGTCTAAATTATATCCACATACCCTCCTAAACGGCTGCCCATATAGTTATTATTAACTCAACCCCTCCGTTTATACCGTCCTGCGAGAGCGGACTCGTAGCTCCAGTAGGTACGCGTCTGCAATATTATATGCATATATGTATAGGTCGTCATAATATATATATTATGTCCATAACGAAGATATGATAATATTATATCGTACCTTGTCATGTGCTAGAAAGCCGCGCCGCAGCCGTCTGATCGCACCGTAAATATACACGTACGTGTACAGAATTGTGATCAGACTGGGCCCCAGCACCAGTATGGACAACGTCACCGAGTACGCCGCCATGCCCTGCCAGTCGAGCATGCACACCGCCGTGTCCTGGTCAAATACTGGATCACCGAACTCAAGCAGCGGTGGGCTACACAGCATCGCCGACGATATCCACGTGAACGCCATCCAGCACTGACATCTTGTGCGCGTTTGTACCGTAAAGTACCGGACTGGTTTGCGTACCGCTATGTACCTATGAAAAACCATCGATAGCACACACGTATTATTTCATTGTGGGTATATTGTTGTAGCATACAAATGTATTATGTTGTATTATCGTGTGCATCGCAGTCAGAGCGAGATCACACACACTTCACTCTACGTCTCTAGGACTTCTTGTTGGTTAGGTCGAGTTTTATGAAGAATAACTTCGAGTGTCCTGTGATAAAAGTATCACCCCGTGGCCCGTATAATATATATTATGTAAGTTATAAAATATCCAATATGTATTATTTATTATATTCCAGCTCACCATTTATTATTGTAAATATAGACAGAATTTGGTTCGAGAACTACATAATATCAGTAATATCACACTATATTAGGGTCTAATATATAACTTTCTAGGTCCAGCAAAGATCATTGTTATATAATATTAGATAAGTTAGGTTATTAGGTATAATATATAATATACTAACAGTACAGTAAACTATCGTTACCTATGTCGAAACTCAAGATACAGTAATTATTATTGTGCCAACGTCGATATCCCAAATTTTTCGTAATCTCGATACACATAGGAAAACCCCTTGAAATATATAGCATTACAATAAACTCAATATTTCAAACTTCTTTCTGTGCTCCTTGAGTTTTGAGTTTTGTCACTCTATAATTAAGTGTATATTAATACCCAGTCGTGAGCATGAAAAATCTAAACGGTGAAAGGGAAAGTGGATTATTATTTTACAAAAAAAGTGTTTGATGTGTACCTATGTAGGTATTTATTAAACAGAATATTAAACTGATTTAACTCTATACGATATTAAAAAAAAAAAAAGGTGGGCAAGTGGGTGTCGCTCTGCTGTACAGTAGGTTACAAGTGGGTCACTGTATAATGGATGATATTAAATTTGAATTCAACGATATAATATCATTGTATAAGAAAAACGATTCTGAGCGCAGACGGTATGTCAGTCTATGTATAAGACATATTATATACATATCTATGGTATTAAACAAAAAATTGACCTATAATGGGTACCTATAATAAATTCCAAATTAATCATATCAAAATATCCATTAGGTACTTATAACGCGTTATACATCAACAAAAACCGTGATACTATCATAGATATATAAAAGTACACTTTAGAAGTTTCAAGTATCCACGAATAATATTATTCAATCACAACAAAATAACTAAAATAGTTATTCTAGGTTTTTTAATATGAAATTTCGTCCAAATTTGAATTTAAAATGTCTGTAAAAAATAACTGTGTTCATATATTTTTTAGATTTTTTGGTTACAGTATGAACTATTTACGAGAACCTTTGTGTTGAATTTGCAATCCTTAGCTATAAAAACTGAACATTTTATAATTTATTAATTACAATGATTGATAATTTTCGAGATTTTGATAAATTTTGTCAAAATTTGATCTTTAAATGCTTATAAAAAAAAACTGTGCCTATGTATTTTTAATATTTTTCAACTGATATTATAACAATATATCAGGAGCCTTGTATTAAATTTTTACACTTTTTGGCCCAACAGATAAAACTTTATTGATATTTATAGAAAAAAAAACTAAAAAAAATTGAAAGCTGTAAATGTCCATAAACAGCTCAAAAAGAGTCAAAATATTTTCAAAATTGTATGGTGTATAGAAAATGCTAATTTAAACATTCAGTGAAATTTTCATGTATCTACAGTTATTTGTTTTTGAATTACAACAAAATAAGGAAATCGCTACATGGGAAATCGAGTGAATATTCAATGTTGTAAAAATTTGAATTTCAAACGCTCATAAAAATTTAATTTGACTTTCTTATAAACATTTTTCTTTTGATAAAGGTAGACAAACTTATAAGGAATCTTGTGTTTAATTTTCAAATCTTAGATTTAAAAAGAAAAATTTTTACGAATTCTTAACTCAAAATAATTTGCTAATTTTCGTGATTTTCCCATATTTTGTCAATTTTTGAACTTTAAATGCTTATAAAAAAAAATTGTGACTAAGGATTTTTAATATTTTTCATCTGCCTTTGAAGCAATATATTAGGAGCCTTCTATTAAATTTTCAAGCTTTCGCAACCAACAAATAAAATTTTATTGATATTTTTAGAAAAAAAACTAAAAAAAAATGGAAAATGAAAATGTCCCTAAACAGTTCAAAATAAATCAAAATATTTTGAAAATGTTATCGTGTATAGAAAATGCAAATATAAACAACCAGTGAAAATTTCATGTATATACGTTCATTTGTTTCAGAGTTACACCAAAAACCAAAATCGATTTTTTGGAAAACCAATTTTGCGTAAAAATTCCCGTTTTTCCTTAATTTTATGTTGTTTTTCCCGGCGCTTGTGAAAACTACTGGGAAATTTATACTTTTGACCCCCCAAAGTACCAACTAGATTCACTTTCCTATCAGAAAAGCTACTGATGAAGAAAATCCAAGCACTTTTACTGTCCTAAAACGTGATGACAGACACAAAAATAAAAAAATAAAAAAAAAAATAAAAAAAAAAATAAAAAAACACACATCATTGTAAAATCAATACATTCATCGTTTCACTCAGAATCTAAAATATTACAGCTTGAACATTTTTTCCCACTAATTCTTGTGTTCTAGTCTGATTTAAAAACAGTCTATTTAGGATATAATATGTAGTATGTACAATATACGATTCACGTTAACTATACAATGACGCCACTGTACAATATCATGATGTACCTAGCTATTATACGTGATCGCATCATAATGCGGTGTTGTGCACACGCAAATGTCTGATGCGTTATACTTTGGTGGATATAATTTGTCCCTCCACATGCTGCAGTTGTCGACGAGAAGAATGTATATACCTACATCGCGCGTGCAAAAATACAGAACACGCGACTCAAACATGCGATCAAACTGCAGTATAATTATATATATATATATATGCCTAGTAGGTAGTATAGTGTTAACAATTTTGTCTATAATAAGTATACAGGGGTGGATCTAAGAATGAAAAAAATGGTGTTCTAGAAATAATATGTGCCTAGTCAGTGATAAACAATAAACATAAATGTACTGTTTAAATAATACATAATATTTAATAATAACTAAAACCTAATGGAATTTTTAAGACAAACGAAAAAATTTCACCGACTTACATACAACGAACTAGTCGTAGTGTTGGCGGGGGAGGGAGGTGTATGAGTTCGTGGAACGTATAGGTATACGTATAACTGTATAAGTACACACGCAATTGGCATAATTGAGTGTTTTACCTCCGATTACAAAATATATACCACGTGTTGGTGGGACAGACGCTTGAAATCATATATAATTATACAATATACATAATATTATTATTATGTTAGGTATATATACCACTATACTGCATAAAGTTACCTACGCACTTACTGCAAAATGATCGTTATATCAGCTGACTGAAGGTGATACATGTAAAAAGCAAAATAATATACCTAGGTAGGCAAAATAAAAAGTAAATTGTTTTGAGTTGGATACCTAATAATTAATATTGAAATATATATTTTATATTAACTTAATTTTAATTTAAACTTTTTAGGTGGAATAGCTAATAAAAAAGCAATATACAAATATTAATAAGTATTTATAAAGTTTATCAAAACTGAGTAATTTTATTGGTGAATTTCTAATAATTAAAAATTCACCAATAAAAATGTACTTATATACTTACTTTTAATGTACTTATGTACCTAAAATTCAAATGATGTAATAACACTAATAACAGCATTATTTATAAACAAATAATAAACTTTTAGTTCAATATTCGACGTTTTCTCCTTTAGAAATATAATTATATAGCGATTACCATTATAAACTATAATTTATAGAACTAGAGTCATTGTGTTTGGGAAAAATTAAGTATTTCAATTTAAATTATAGTTGTGAATAACTAAATAATAATTTAGAGTACAAAGAGTAACCTCGTCGCCTCGAATACTGGATTAATTATTTTAAAAGCAGTTAATATCTTATGACGGCGTCATGTATAGGCAATTTAACATCACTATTAGTATTGTGTGGCTGGATTAGTAGATATTATTTATTATTTTTTATGACGTATTCTATGATATTAATTAATCACAAGTAACACAAATATAGTAGTTTTTAATTACCGGTGCAATAATAATGGTTATCTTTAAATTACGATTTTTCATTATTATAACCTGTATATAATCAAAATGCATTAAAATTGTTACCTGTCCACACTAATCCACATAAGTGTGTATGCAGACACGGTCCACAGTGCGACTTCGATGTATCCGATTATTCTACAAGCAATTTTCCCATAAACCCATTGTTGCACGAGTGCTGGGTATACGGAAAATGGCACTACGAGCACACCGTAGAGCAGGTCGGCCAGAGCCAGTGACACCAAGTATACATTCATCACCTCTCCTCCACCTATTACATTATATAAATACGGGTTATTAGAAAAGTTAGATGCAATTCGAATAAAAAAGCTTATATTTATATTTCGAGATGGCATTAATCACTTTAAAATAACTATTTATGTTAGCTCTATTTTGAAAAATTGACTGCCAAAGTAATGTCAATAATATTATGTCAGGAAATAATTTATAAAATCGATAAATTCATATAATAATACCTCTTATGTTGGTGAACGTAGCGATTATGAGGATATTAAGGAGGATGATGGCGACCGCCATGGTGAGCACCAGCGATGCCTGGGTTAAGGGCTCCAGGTTGTGGTGGGGGTGGGCTTCAGTAATACGTGCCCACCGCCATTGTTGCTATCTGTCACACATCACAGCCTATACACAAATATATAAATGTATCATTATACGATTATTATTTAAATAATCTTGTTATCACAATATAGGTAGAAATGATGATTAGATACTTTGATAAAATCCACTCAATTATATATAATGCATTAATTAACACTAACGATACAACGGAACCGATGCATTCATCCGATTTAAGTAGGTAGTTTTAAACTAAATAATAATCATTCCCTTGTAAAAATAGGAAATTCGTAGAAAATATTCTTGAAAATGTTTTAAAACAAATTACAATCAATACTATAGTCTATAGGAACTATATTTTCCTATTTATTATAGGGTAGTTTATTCTTCGAATTACATTATATTGTACGTATTTTATCGTAGAGTTGATTTCATTTGAAACCTCTTATTATTGTATTATATGTTATGTGTATAACCATTATATATATATAATATAATATATTCAATGGCTTCTAACAGAAAATCAACGCTAATAATGTGTCCAATCGATAATATTAATAGACTTATACAGTTATACATTTATATAGTACATACTACATATAGTGATATTTAAAAGTCCGTAAATAATAAAAACTATAATAACTATTGTTATACTTATTTATTTCATAGAAGTAAAAATCAATAATGACGATTTATCAAATTTTTATTTATTTGCAAATTTATGAAAATTCTTTTTTAACCTTAAAATGCGTACTAAATATAGGTAAGTATATACTTTATATTCTGTAAATATTAAAATCAACTTATTGATTGTATTGTTATGACTTGTTATGAATGTATTTCGAAATCATAAAATGTCTATAAATAAAAATAATAATATTAAGGTTGTGGTTCGTTAATTAATCATCAATTTAAATGAGATTATTATACATAATTTAGAATAAAAAAATAATATAGACTCTAACCATAAATAAATCGTCTAAATTCGTGGGGGCAAAGTGCAAACCATATAACTACATCACTATTATAGTTGGTGATGTATACATAAAGCTATAAATACCATTGTACTATTCGATACTACTACCACCATTATAATAATATCTACTTTACTATATTAATATTAGTTACTAGTTACAATGCTACTGTATAATATAATATATTAATACTACTATAATAATAATGTACCTCGTGATATATACATTACGACATAGATAAAAAATATATCATAGACGCATATAGATCGGAGGACGACGGATATTAGACTTTTACTACACTCGCGTACCACCCGTTATTAGCGCTTCATGCGATGAAGAACATACGAAAAATACGATCGACCTGGCGAAACGATTACGCGTGATTTACGAGAGTTCTAACTAATGTACTATAGAGTACATAGACGCAAGAAATCTCGCACAGGATAACGATTGAGTGTTTTGAGAAAAATCTATCGGGAAAAAATTAATAAACAAGAGAGACGCTACAGCAGCGACGGACGACTAAAATTGACCGTGCACGTTGAGGTGATGATAAAGGGTCGGACCGTGGAAATCTAAACGGCGAGAGTGTGTACACCTATACGTCATAATATATACGCATTACACTCGATAAAATCACCGGAACCAATATGAATCCATTATTATTTACAATAGACGGTCATCATTGAGGTGCATCCTGCGGTAGACGGTACAGGTGTAGTGCGCGTATCCATGTTCGAAGAGTGCACGATTGGCGACGACATGACTGCAGTGGTGGAGGTGGAGTTTTGTGGTAAAAATGATATGTAACGTTATTACGTAGATTTTCTCGAGACGTATTAGAATATTGTCACAATAGGTAATAATAATTCGTCGATACCACTTATCACTATAATAGACAGTACTCCCGCGGGTTACTCGTCGCTGCCGTATAATAAAATATTATTTAATAGTTTTTTATTTCATTATTCGTCGCGTATATCACTCCGATGTTCACCGTATTGTCGTTGAGGTGTAAATCGTTGTACAATATTATTATATGCGATAATGAACAATCCCGACCGGGCGATGACTATACGTTTACGGTACGCGAGTACGTATCGTCATCGGGTCCGAGTGCAGTGCGTATACCTACAACCTACTGCTATAGAAAAGACGGAGAAAAAAAAATTTGACCCAGACCGGCGCGCGCGTTTACCTACCCCCGAGACGATATCGGTGTAGCCGCTGGACGCGTATACTCGCCAATAATCCCAACGGGCGATGATTGCACCACGATAATAATGTTAAACATTAAAAAAAACTATAAAACATAAAAAATAGGCTACAATCCGAGATGACGATCATTACGCGACGACGACGACGACGACGACGACGACGACGTTGATAAGTACACGAACTGAAAAAATACCCGTATGCGTGGCGTATACGATATAATATAACATTATATATACCGTGATAGAATATACATATTATTATATATACAATATATTATATTAGTGTGTGTGCGTGCGCGTGTGTGTGTGTGTGTGTACGAGTGTACGTGTGTGTGTGTGCTCACCAGATTCCGGTAACATGGCGGTCGCGCTGACGGGGTCGAAGTGCCGCAGCGGATGAGATGAATAATAATTGTAATTGTCGTGATGATTATATATTATAATGTTTATATATTATACATATATATATTTACAACGCAATGGATATTGTACGAAACATGGTGTGTATATTATAATTATTGTTAATGGGTAGACGTAGAAAGCGAAAAAATTGTTTTAGAAAAAAAAAAAAGAAAAAAGAAAGATATTGTACACGGAATGTTGCAAGAGCTACACTACTACCACTATTATACACTGCGGCGGCCGAATCGCGCGCCTCCCCTTCTGACACGCGCGCACCTAGCACGCAACCCCCCACCCCCCGGACACCGTCGACAGCTACCCTCGACCCCACGACCCGCCTCACGCACACACACGATCGGGAAAGCTCTCACACACACACACACACACACACACACATGGGAAAGCTCACGTAGTCACGAACGTGGGAAAGCACACACACACAACGTACCGTCACCGTGCCCTCCCCTCGTTGCTACCCGCTCACTCTAACCACCCTCGTCGACAAATTTCTCGGCCTTGCCTTACACGCGCACACACATACAAAAATGCGCGCGTGCGCGCAATTGACTACTACTGCGCCCTCCATGCACCACCAGGCAACCACTCCACCACCGATGGGCGCACTACCCTTTGAAAGTTTGTACTGACGCCGCCGAGTGACGTCAACCAAAGGACGCCACAGCATTCGCGGCTCCAGTGTGTCCGTGTCGTAGCTGCGCTTATCTGACTCCAGCAGACGCGGGCTGCTCTTGGCGTTTCTACGCTTTCGCACTCACAAACGATCGTGCGCGCGCATTTACGCAAAAACACACGTAGGTATATTGTATATACGTCATATAAGTATATAACGCAACTACGCGCATACACGCAAATACCAGTATACAAATATAATATATTTATAGACATATAGATAGGTAGAAGTATTAAAAACATGATATAAATAGTGCATTGTGTGATATAATATTATATACCTAGGTGTTTATCTATAACGCGCCCAAGTTCTTTCAAAACGTTTTTTGCACCACGTCTTACGTTCGCGTATAACCGTTTGGCGGTTATTATGCCTACCTATAAACCTTATACGTTACCTACCTACTTACTTGTTTTCGAAAGATATCCGACAGTAACCGCTTGTAATATATCATATATTATACTAGTATTTAGTAAGCAGCCATAAATTCGAACAGACGTATAATTGATACACGTTGTTTTATCATAATGTGGCTACTGTAGCTACGTACCAAATACCTATCTATAATAATATCTATAAATTATAATATAATGGTACCTATTATAGTATAGTATGGTACGAACCTGGGGTCCGCTATTAATGACTAAATAGGCTGAAGCCTGAAGGCCTGATATATCCACTTAGATATTAAGTATATATATTCCAAAAATACCTTTTTTGTTTATTGCTATTTGTTTAATTTTCAAAAATGTGTAATACTTATATGTTACATTGTTACCTACCATTATGATAAAGTCTCTTATATTTACAGGGCCGCATTTAGGGAGGGCCGCTGGGTACAACTGCCGGGCGCCAGTATTTTAGGGGCGCCAATATTTTGTGGTCAGAAATTTGTTTACTTGTGAATTATTAAAATTTTATAATTTTAATTATTTTAATAACAGTATTATATAATATAATTTAGTATAATAGTATTATATAGTATTATGTTGTTTAAAATTATTTTAATTAGTATTAATTTGCATAGTCTTATATAATTTTATTTTATTTATTCATGAAGTAGGTACCTACAACCTACTTAAATATGTTTAAAAAAAACAACTTATATGATGAATTATAAGCAAGGTTCAAGTGACATAATTCAAATGTATCTTTGCGGAGAGAGGATCAAGCAATTACCAACCATTTATTTTAAAAAAAGCACACATTGTAAAACAAATATTGTTTTCTGTGCTCAAAATCTAAAAGGTTAATGAGGATTGAGGATCTATCTCCCATATTTTCCGTGGGTAAGCCCCTTAGGCGGAGCAATTTTTTTTCACCGGGACTTAAGGCGTGCCAATTTTTTTTTGCGCCGGGTTGCAAAATGTCTAAATGCGACACTGTATATATGTATAACAATAAATGCCAATATCGTACAAAATAATTACAATACGTTTATGGTTTATCACTTTTTAGTTTTTGCAATATTATATTATTACCTACCTGCCAGGGGCGTCATTTAAACTTTTTTTTATTGGTGCCAAAATGTTTGCAGGCCATTTAGATCATTACCAGGCCACATAGAAAACTTTTTTTATTTATTTTTTTTTTTTTGGGGGGGGGGGGGTCAAGTGGGGAACAAAATCTGTAGAATATTTGTATAATTTATTTAATATGTCCCTTATATTAGTATGA